CACCTTTCAAACGAAAGAATATGAGAAGAAAGAAACAACAGTTTAATTTTCTTTGTCGTTAAAATACTTAACTCTCTACTATACCTACCCATATCGTTCTCCATCTAGCTGGTTGTGAAAGAAATTTTTAAAAGGTAGAGGTGTGGCCAAACATGACTATGACACATATCCGAAATTACGCTTCGTTTAAGCATCTCACATTCCTCAGATTCCTCATATTCCTAAGTTGTCTACGATGTTTAAAGGAAGCGCAATTTCGGACTATGAGGAATGTGAGGAATATGAGGAATGTGAGGAATGTGAGGAATATGAGGAATATGAGCAATATGAGGAATGTGAGGAATATGGGGAATATGAGGAATGTGAGGAATATGAGGAATGTGAGGAATATGAGGAATGTGAGGAATATGAGGAATATGAGGAATATGAAAAATGTGAGGGAGGAGTTTGAGGAAAAAGCAGTAATACGGTTTGAATCCAGGATTTTAGTCTTATTATCGTAGGTAGAAAGATGACAAAAGCAAGTCGGAAGTTGGATAACTCAGCGCCCTCCAATATTTTGAACGATGCTCGAACAAGAGAAATGATCCCATAGATTCAAATAGTAGGTTTTGTAGAGCTTGCAATCCTCTCCCTTTTGGTATATAAAAGAGAGAACAAGTCTTTCTCGAGAAGCTTGTACAAATCCCGTTTTGGGGGCAAAATTGTATAGTCGCAGCATCACAGTACAAAGAGGAAAAAATATTTTTGTAAGTAAAATACCTGAAAACCCTTTGGAAATCCTCGAAAAACCTATTCAGATATCGAACTGTTGTCGTTTTATACTATCAATAAATAATAATTTGAACTACAATCAAAAACTAATTGAAAGCAGATAAAAAATCATTGAAGATTCCCAGAAAAGCCTTTCAGATTCCTTTTTGAAATGTCCGAACCTGTACGTTTGTTTAGTTTTTCACACAATATTGAATGGCTTATTTGAAAGCATCTATTACTACCAGAAAAATTGAGAAATTTCGATTTTAAAATTTCGATTTAATAGTAAAAAAAAGAGATTTTGATAATTTCTGTTTTAAATGTTGCGAAACATTTTTCTACAAAATACAGTTATTGAAAACTTTTCCACTTAAAATTTTCAACTTAAAAATAACATCGGGAAAACGATTTTATTAAAAGGAGCTCCCAGAAATCATGTTTTTCTGTAAGCCCTACTTCCCGATTTTCTCAAACCTTTTCCATATCACCACTAGAAAGGCCGTGGTTTGAACGCTATAAACGCCAAGTTCCATTAACTGTGGTTAAGTGCTATATTAGAAAACAAGCTTCAGCTTTTTGATTTAAAACGCTTATTAGTTCTGCTAATTGTTTTTGGATGTAAAATGAGTAAAGATAGAAATTTTGATAGTCGCTAATATACTTTTTACCATCATTTGCACTCCCTCAGATTAACAATCGAACGTTGCTATTTTGGTAATAGCACTGTAGTATTAATGTGGTGTTTTACAGATAGTACTTAGCTAAAATGAATTTTTGCCAAGTGTAGTTTTTATATTTGCGTTTATTTATTATTTTACGCTAGATTTCTTCGTTTTGTATTTTAAATATTTATTTTCTCTTCCTATTAACACGCGTATTATTAGGGATAGGTAGGAGAGCACATACGAGAGCAGGGCGACGACAATCTTTGGAACATTTTGTGCAAAGACTTCCATTCTCCCTTTCGATAACAGTTCTGCTAGATTTCTTCAAAAAATTTAAAATCGCTAGATTCAGATGAGCAATGGATAGCGCTTGTTCCCTTTAGAACACAATATTCTACCAGCTGTATTCTGTGTCAAATATAATCTCTTGAAGGCATTCATCCGTTTATAGATAATAACTTTTTATTTTTATTTTAAATGTTCAACCAAAAACATCTAGAAAAAATCATTAGAACACAAAAACATACAAAGAGGAAAAGTAATATATATGTTCTTAGTTGCTTAGTCCCACACGCGTTATCATAACAACCATACTTCGGTATTTTTACTAATGGTGAGTAACTTCGAAATGTTTTAAAAATATGATAAAGCACTCTTGTGGGACATTCGCTACGATATAGTTCATCAAAATTGATTATCACACCACAGTTCAACATGGTTAGTATAATACCATACGATGTTGTTCTAGGTGAATAACGTTCAGTCCTTGAAACATTACATTCATCATACCCTTCATCCTCTATCCCGAGACTTAGCTGTTGACTGTTTGATTGTAAACTACGGAATTTATTCATATGTTTCGGACAATAATCTGCCTTTTCTAAACAAACGTACTAAAGTTTATAAGAAAAATTTAAACTTTCATGATTGTTTAGTTACCCAGTATTTATGACCTTGCGGATGTGGTTCGTCTTTCGGACGGTGTCCACACCCCCATGTTATTTCGCCTAAAGTGTAAAGAAAAACCAGCGACATTTCTTCTATTAACGAAAATCGTGTACCGTCAAACTTTGTTTGCTGTAATAAATTTTACCTAACTCTTCTGACCATGTTATTTCATTAATCCATTTACAGATAATTATGTCACACTTTTGAAAACCATCCAAAACCAAACAAATTGAGCACTCTGCTCCGCAGTTGTGCCATGTTTTATGAGCCGTCCAAAATATTGTAAATTTTTGCTGCCAATTTTCAAACTTTCTATCAAAATAATCATTACGTCCATCTTTATCACTGATGTTAAAAGGAATTTCAAATTTAACTGGCTTTTCTGTCGATATAAAAAATTCGAATAATGCAGTCATATATATCATCCATGCTTCTTGAAACCGTTTACGATTCAGCAACTTCTGGTTTTGTACTTCTGCACCATCATGACCATGTTTTTTTTGTAACTCCATTGTTATGAAGTCATTCTGTGAATCACACCATTTTTCAAAAGATGCCGATAAATTTGATAAATCTGATGAAAATTTCATAAATAGATCGATTGTATAGGCATTTCTGCCTATATATTCTTATATATTCTTTTTCGTATAATGACTGGCAGGTAACATAGTGTTTTGAACCTATCTTGTAACTATTTGTATGATACACACGTTCACAGCATCTAGCGCTATATACTACTCCTTGTTGGATGTAATCAATTCCAAAAACACTGACCTTTTTGGATTAATTAGTCGTAATGGTTTTTGACATCTTATAGAAATACTGACAAATGGCTTAACCGTGTGTAATGATGCTTCTGTGTCATAGTAAGGATTGCTGCAATAATCACTAATCAATTTCTTTAGATCAACCAAAGGAAATAAATCTGGTTTATCTCCATCCGCCTTATGGCTTTTTAATGTATTTACCACCGCTTTAACTTGATACGCTTCATATTTAACATGATAAACCGTATAAACCATATTTGATATATCTGCATATTTAGTAGAAATACAATCATCTAACTGATAATCAAGTAAGTACATAAGATTCACATGAACAAGTTTATAACGTTTGTTTAATTCAGTTATATATATTTCTTCGTTTAACACGTTCTTTTCATCGCGGAGCATCTAAACAAGTAACAGATAATGAAGTCGTTAATTCAAGCGTTTAATGGAACTAGCGTACAGATTGGCTAGTTTGAATTCTGTTTTATTGTACATTAAAACAAAAATTAATATTTTTATTCGAGATCGATTTTATATTAAGGCGTACACCGATAACGGCGTCCGCACTATTTATTTACGATTTTCTACCTCTCTCATGTCACACTACTCGTCTATGGTTAGTCTCATTCTGTAGTTGGCGAAAATTTCTTTTTGGTAACTATTAATAGTACAAATTAATAGAAGTAAATGTTTCACAGACAGAAAATCAAAAGATTGTGATTAATCACAAGTTGTAATCCAAACTTTTTGTAAAAAACTGAGAAAAATAATTAACTTTGTAAATTTATCGTCAAATCATAACGCTAAATTACAGAAAAAAGCTTCTACAACTATTCCTATACGTAAGCGAAAATCAGCATGATTTCGTCGTAAATTTGCAAAAATAAGATCACTCATGATTTCCACCAATATCAGATGCATTCACTCTATCCTTCTTTATACTGACCAAAAAGGTGCCTGTGAGGTCAAAACATTGAGTTTATACCTAATCTAGAGAAGCTAGAGAGGTTGGAAGGATGAGAAGAGCTACACACTCATATATATCTATAGGTGGATTGAGGGATGTAAATGTGACCTT